TATTTATGTGATTCTCAGACCGTAAGGAGATCTTGAGGTTCTTGGAGATATGTCCCAGCAAAACTCACAGAAAGTGACCTTTAGTTCATGTTAGCCTCATAGATCTCCATGAATTCATAAGTTACAAAACAGGTCTTCATCTTTAATAAGATCTTCATCATTTTGAAGTCTTTTCCACTAAGATACTTCCTTCCTTGCTATCATCATCTCCTCATCCAGACCATAGTCAAGACACTAGGGTATCAAAATTATTCGTATAGTGGGAAAACTTTTAGGAGCGGGGGATTTCCAGGCGACAAGAACCCCAGCCTTTGTTTGGCTTCTACTTTTTGGGGGCAGGGCATCGCATTCTGGGGATAATTGGGTCATAAAAAAGTTATTTGTGTAAAATTATGAAAATAAACTCAATTGCAATAATTTGCTATACAGGAAAAATGGCTCCAAACAATCGGGCAAGGATTACCAGGAAATGATCAAAGAGCAGGGCAGAGGAATGTGGCAGCAGTCCGCCCCAAAAATAAGCGAATGGAATGGAGGGGAACCGAAGCAAAGGGAATGAAATGGAATGCAAAAGCTGTGGCTGCGTGTAGCATACAAATCACAGGAAATATATCCACTTTTTCCCCAGAAATCATGCGAATATTCGTTTGTAAAAACTTCTATAATTGGATGCAGACCCAAAAGTAAAGTTATTTTCTGGGGGAAAATGTCAGAATAATTAGGACTCATAATAATTGGTAGAGAGGAGAGACAGAGAGAGAAAGAGTGCGAGAGGATTGTAATGAATGGAGCTTTGAAATGCATCACAAAAACTATTGAAGCAAATAAATAGAGAAAAATCAAGCAAAATGTATGCAAAAAAACAAAAAAAAAAGAGGGCAATATTAAATAAAATACAAAAATAATAAATAAAAAATACACAAATAATAAATAAAAAAAATAAAAATAAAGACAAAATTAATTTTAAAAAAATACTCAAATAATAAATAAAACAATATATAAATATAAAAAAACACAAACAAAAAATAGTAATTTAAAAAAATAAAAAAATAAAATAAAATAACTAATAAAATATAAAAAAATAAAACCACCCAACAAAATTAAGGAAGAACATAACCAAGGAGGAACCAAAAAATGAACATGGCTTAAACATAGAGAAGCCATTCGCAAGATATTCACAGGTCAGTTTCTACCACGAGTACAGGGTATAAAAAGAAGCAAATGAAGTACAATCCTTGACCAAAATGAATAAATGGAATAATTGAATGAAAGAAGTTGCAATCTAAGAATTTGGCAAACAAAAAAATACCATTCTTATCAATGATTAACTATTGGAACTAATGTGAGAAATCGAAGAAAAAATCTGTGTACTATCCAAGAAACCCTCCAAAATATCTCCCTAAAAGGTATCAAAAATCCACCGTAAACCGCACATTAAATACCCATAAAAACAGATGAAAACTTGAATATCTCACACAGCCTCCCCACTCACTTCCCCACCCCCTCTCTCAGATATATGTACATATGTCGGTATGTATCTGTGGGACACCCTTCTCTACCCTTACAGATACCTCATCCTCATCCTGACCCCCTCCACCTCTTTGCCTTGCTGTCAAGTGCAACGGTAAATTGCCATTCGATATGCAAATGGCAGCCGCATTCACAAAACGCTGCGCTTTTCAATTGCTTTTCTCTCTGCATTGAAATCAATTTAACTTTCTGCTCAATGCCAATCATTGGCACCCACACCCACCCCACACGTCCTCTCTCTCTCTCACTCTCTCTCTCTCTCTCTCTCTCTGTGCGGCGGGGCTCCATCATCAGTTCTGCGGGGCCGGAGGTGGGGCTGCAGCTTGAAAGGGAGGCAGAGGCGGAGGCAGAGACAGAGACAGAGACAGAGCAACCGGCAACCAAGTGGCGGCTGTGGCAGCAAAAAACAAACAATCAAACGGATCCCCGATCCGGAATCCAAAAACGCCGCTTATTTCAAAATTCATTTGTCATTTTCTGACAGGCCGAGAACCAATATTCGCGAAGGGTGGCTTATAATAGGAGGACGGAGGGGGCGGTGTGCCCTAGGTCTTGGGGTTTGCAAGCGAGACAAAATGGAGAACTATTAGAACTCTCCCTTTCTATAAAAAAGTTAGCAGATGAGAGGAGAGCCGGGAGGCGTGTCTCCCGCTCTCTCTCGCTCTCTTCCAGCGTGGCTTAGCAGCAGTTAAGGGTGGGTTTTCATGTCATCGACGCATTAGATGCCTGTGGCATCGTCATGAAGGGTATTCCTTCGTCGATTCCACGTAATTAAATTCGCATTGCCATTCCGCCTTCAAAACTATCAGAAATTCATTCAGTTTCGATGCCTATGAAAACTGTCACACCGTTTCATTGAATTGAACCTCCACTCCCCTCCTCCTCCTCCGCCCCCTCCTCCTACCTACCCTCCCCCCTGGTGCAATCTGAAATGTCTATGTCAGTGCTCGCGGGCATTGGTTTTTGGCCACAATTATTCCCCGATTTCTGACCGAATCGTTTCCGTTTCCCCCCTTCTTCCCCTTCCCGGCCGTGAGCATGCGGTGGCAGGAAGGAACATGACATAACATAACGGTAATAGGAAAATCATCGATTTTATTTGATTTATTTGCAGGACGTAGGTGACTTTTTTTTCTCTTTTTCTCTCTAGAGTTTGTTGTTGTTTGCTTTTCGTCCTCCCCCCTCTCGCCCACCCAAAACAGTGGGTGCGTGGCGCCAAGGTATGTTGGTCAAAAGGTAAGGCACTTCCACACATTGCCAAGAAATCAGCGTTCGATTTATTTTCGTTGCTTCGAAAGAAAATTTCGAATCTGTTTGCCCAGCCACACTGGGAGAGAGAGAAAGAGAGAGAGAGAGAGATCACACCCCACAGATTCATGTTTGAACGCTCCCTGCATGCTTCTGGTGTGGCAGTGCGGGCAATAAATCTAGGAAATTGTGTCAGAAAATGTTTCTCTGTCAGAGAGAGGAAGCGGCGGGGCAGCCATATTGAAATTAGAGGCACTTCCGTTTTGGATTTCTGTGTCTGTGTCTGTGTGTGTGCTTTGGTTTTTGCGGTTAAGAGAGTAGGGCCAGGGATAGAACTAAGTGCCGGAAAGATATGCGTAACAAAATGCCCTGCCCCCAAAAAGAACTCCTGACTTTTGAGGTTTTTTTTTTGGGTCGTTCCCTGGCCTCCTTCTTTTTTTCCCCCCCTGACATTTCGCCTTGGGGTATATTTTCGGCTGTACAACTTTAGAGGCATTTTTGGTTTTTATTTTTAAATATTTTCAAAGAAATTTTTGCCATTTAAATTGAGTATTTTTAGTTTTTAATTCGTTTGTTTTTGCAGCAGCAATAATTGGGCCACAAGCGTTTGTAATAAAAGCGAAAGGAATGCTCTCCCTCCGTCTATAAATACGGATTGATGTCTGCTGAATGAACTGCCGAATGCTGAAGAGTATTCATGAATGAGGGAATGTTTGATGTGAATGTTTGTGAATGGTTTCTGGTCTAAATATTCGGACGATTAAAGTGTCTGCTTTGAAGGTATTTATTCAGGGATATACAAGTATTTCTCTGCCTTTTTTTCTATCTGGAATCGCATTCACTGATTGATAAAGTATTCATAAATAGTTTTTTTCTGTCCGCCAACTTTCAATCTCAAGGTGTTCCTATGATTGTTTTGTTATTCAGTAAATCAGTTGTTTTTTTTTTTGGTTTTTTTTTTTTGTTTTTGTCATTGCCTGCCTGTTGGTAATTTTTCATGATTATTTTTGCGGTCATTATTGCTGATTTCGCTATTGTTGTTTCTGTTTTCTGTTTCAGTTTTCTGTTTATTCGTTCGCTCCACTCCACTCCACTCCACTCCCCTCCATTCCCCTCCACTCCACTCCGCTCCACTCTTTCCGATTTTAGTTTTGAGATAATGGAGCCCCCGCCGAATGCCTTCCATTTTTATAAATAAACTGCATGATGATAAAAATAGAATTGCAAAAAGCAAATAAACAAACAGCTAAAATAGCAACAACAACAACAACAACAACAAAGAAAAAACAAAAACTATGCCATTGTCGATTGTCGGGTTGGCTTGTTTTGTTGTCTTTTTAGCTTTCGTAATGAATATTTTTGCGAGTTCTTCGAAAGACAGAGACACAGAGAGACAGAGAGAGATAGAGAGAACCGACGACCCCCACACGCGACGACAGAGAACACACACACAAAAATCCATCAACATTTATCAAAAATTCAGCATTGGGGTTAAAAATAGTTACCATTCTGCAAAAAACGAAGCGGAACAGGTTCTGGATGTGAACTCTATTGAAATCTATCTTTAAGAATCGTTCGGGTGCTCATGCACCCAGTTGAAGGTCATGTGGGTCTACTCAGATCGTTAGGGTAAACAAATGCTTGTGGGTATATTTAGAAGAGTTTAAACATACCAAAAAAAAAATCTGCGAATAGAACTAATTGTGTTTGTTTCTTGGCTTCATTCATCAATCTATCGATGGAGTAGCGTTAAATGCCATTTAAATATAGCCAAAAGCTGGAAAGATCATTGAGAAAGAAAGAACGGATATAGAACATATACTATGCATATTTATTCTATAGATACCTTCTGCCCCTCCGCAATATTACCATAAGTGCCACCCTGCTTCCACCATATGTCGCTTCCTCTCCTCTAATTGCCCAAGAGCACTGCTCTGCAGTTGACTTGGTAGCTAATCTAAATATGTCGCATCTGCCAGATACGATTTACGTGCCACTGCAGCTATGTACCACTCGTACGGTAAATGTATCTTGCAGCTCGGCATCTCCTCTATCTCTCGCTCTCTCCCTCTGCCTCTGCCTCTCCGTCTCTGTTCGCAGAGTGATTTACAATTCCCGAAAAAAAGTAACGAGAATCTAAATATTTAACAGTCTGCCTGTCTGTATGTTTGTCTTTGAAGGTTCAGCAAATGTGTAAATAAATCAAAAGTTGTTGGACTTACCTTCAATGCAAAGGCACTGGCAGCAGGCAGCAGGCAGGAGGCAGAGGGCACAAGGTGAGGCAGTGGCAGGAGGCAGTTGCTGCGGCCGTGGCTGGTGGCTGATGGCTGATGGCTGATGGCACTGGAGGAAAGGCACTGTGTCTGGTGGCAGTAAGAGGCAAAGCAAATGTGATGGATGCCGTGCGAGCTATGAAGAATTGAATCAAATGTTGAATAAAGAAAAGTGGGGGCAAGTAAGTGCATGAAAGTGCATAAAAGCATCAAGAAATTACGGAAAAGTATACATACATATACCTATATGTTGTACCTTTACATACATACATTTGTGTGTATGTATTTTTTGGGGAAAGTGAAAATAATCTTAAAAGTACTTTAAGCATTTTTCCCTATTTTTGAAGTATTTTTTACGTATTAATAGACAGGAATGAATAGAAATGAATGTTTGCAATGAATAGACACTTCATTTGTGGCTTTAGATGTTTATTTTTCGTCTTTCCTCTCATAATATTATCCCACTAAAGACTCGTATCGTCTGTGTGCGTCCCCCTCATTCATATCGCAGATCTTCTGCCCTCTCGGCTCAGCATAATCTGTATACGGCATGGTATATCGGGGCTATATCTTATCAGCAATGTCATGACTCACTCGCTTCTCCCATAAATGTGGTTCTACACCCCATTGCAGAACACCTCCCGGCCTTCTGTTTGGTAGCATTCACAATTGATTACGGCGTGTACTTCCAGTTTCAGTTCCAGTTAAGCGCAAATATTAGCAGAGAGCCAACCATCAACAGGGCGAGTGCCCCACCTACCGAACCCATAACCCACCCCCCCATTGGCATTCCCACTCCCATTCCCAGAAGAAACCCTCCCCCACCTCCAGGAAACGCTGATGCAAACCCCCTGCTCCCATTCTGCCCTTCTCCAACCCACGGCCATGCAAACGAAACCCTTCCTTCTCCCCCACACCCGTACTTGGCGCTTCGTTCTTTTCAATTCCTCCTGTATTTGGGTGCGTGAGTAATGTGACGACATTAATTTTCACACTCATTACAACTCCATTAGAGAAGGGTCCCGTCCTCTGAAGTCCGAGCTTGGAATGGAATGGGGCACGGGGTCACCACCTCTACAACGCGGCGGGGTCACCCACTTCCACACCCACACCCACACCCACACCCGTTCCCAACTTCAACCCGCCCAGAACTGTGCAAATAGAGTAACAAAAAAAAAGAACCAGACACGAAATACACTATCGTGTGACGATTTACCAATGCACGCACGAGAGAACGCCACCTCCTTCTGCTCCTCTCCTCCATCCTCGCTTTTGACAGCTATTGCTGGTACCCCTCCCATTATGCCAATGGTACTCCTCCCGGTACTCCACCTCCTACTTTTGACAGCCATTCCGCTTTCGGAATTGGCCATGGCAAAGTGTCAACAGAACGAGTATTACGAGTACCACTAATTTGTGTACAAAGTGAGGATAAAAACGAAAACATTTGCCCCGTTTAACTATTAGAAGATTCAAGATGATAGTGCTTTAAAGGAAAGAGAGCAAAAGCGAGAGAGAAAGAGTGGCAGAGACTTATAGAAGTCTTCCATCTGTCCTCTATTCTTCCCATATCGTCCTTCCTATATCATCAGCAACCTTTGACTTTTCCATTACCAACAGAATAATCTTTCCATAAAGCAACTTTTTTGCAATTTTCAACGATTTAAAGCCACCGTTTGACCTTTTTTCCAACACATTTCATCAACATACAGTATGTCAAGAAACTCTTTACACACTGAAAATAAATTAAATTTTTTGACTTTGGATAAGAAAATAATGGCCTTTGGTTCAAATTTATCAAATTTTTTTAATTCCTAACCATTCAGGGATTAATTATAAAGTAGTTAGTGAAAAAAGAATAACAAAACTATAAATAGGTAACTTACAAAACAACAAAAACAATGATTACTCATTTTTGACACTGTCAAGAAACTCTTTACACATTTCGTTTTCGAGCTCTGTTTTGATCTCGTTCTTAGAAAAAACGGGACTTTACCGTAATCTATGCTTTTGGCGTTGCTCAGTGCTGCTCTATTTTTGCATTGACTTTGATTTGGTTGCGAAATTTTGACCGGGTGACATCTACAGACTAACTTTCTGAAATTTTTAAAATGCCTGGCAAAAGACTAAGGTTTGACGTTGTCCAAATGATTTACTATAATCACCAGTTGGGCAAATCTGTTGCAGACATGGTAGACATGTTTTCAGTATCAAGGAAAACAATTTACAATGTCCTAAGTTTCGCGAAGAACGAAGGGAGACTGGAAACAAAATGTGGAGGTGGCCGTAAAAGGAAGATAGACAGACGGGCAGACCGCGTAATCATGAGGAAAGTTAATCCGAATCCACAAATATCGGTCAGGACTCTGGCCAAGGAACTTGACGAAGAACTTGACTTGGTTGTTTCACACGAAACAGTACGCCAGGTTATTCTACGCCATAAATACTCTTCCAGAATGGCACGAAAAAAACCGCTGCTTTCGTCGGTCAATGTGGAAAAGCGCTTCACTTTCGCTGTTAACATGATCAGTAAGCCGGCAGAGTATTGGGATGACGTCATATATTGCGACGAAACAAAAATGATGCTTTATTACAATGATGGTCCACCCAGAGTATGGCGCAAGCCGTTAATAGCTTTAGATAACCGAAACATCTTTCCGACTGTAAAGTTTGGAAAACTTGCGGTTATGATTTGGGGGTGCATCTCTATCCGAGGAGTGGGAAATATTGCATTTATTGAGAACACAATGGATGTCAAACAGTACCTCTAAATTTTAAAAACAAATTTAAAAAGCAGTGCGGAGAAATTTGGTCTCATTACGGACAATAGGGCTAAATTCAAGTTTTATCAAGACAATGATCCCAAACATAAAGAGTCCAATGTGAGAGCTTGGCTGCTTTACAACTGTGGAAAAGTTATTGATACACCACCCCAGAGTCCCGATCTTAACCCCATTGAAAATTTGTGGGCCTACTTGAAGAAAAAAGTGGGAAAAGACAGCCCAAAAACCGCAATCAGCTAAAAGAATTCATACTGGAAGAGTGGCAAAAGATTCCCTTTGAGTATGACCTACAAAAACTGATAAATTCGATGAAAAAACGGCTCCAGCATGTAGTCAATGCTAAGGGAGGACATACCAAATATTAAAATAAGTTAAATATATTAAATAATTACGAAGAATTTTGAATTTAAAAAATGAAAATATTTTGTGTAAAGAGTTTCTTGACAGTGTCAAAAATGAGTAATCATTGTTTTTGTTGTTTTGTAAGTTACCTATTTATAGTTTTGTTATTCTTTTTTCACTAGCTACTTTATAATTAATCCCTGAATGGTTAGGAATTAAAAAAATTTGATAAATTTGAACCAAAGGCCATTATTTTCTTATCCAAAGTCAAAAAATTTAATTTATTTTCAGTGTGTAAAGAGTTTCTTGACATACTGTACGTACCTATTCCATCAAAAACGGGGACATCTTTCTTTGTACAAGCTGCCCTTAAAGTTTAGCCTTATTTTCAGCTACCCTTTGACCTTATCAACTTAAAAAATTAACAACATTATTGCTGAAATGTATTTTCTTCCTACTTTTTCACATTTCTGTGGGGCAATCTATGCCCTGAGACACGCAGGACCTCGCGTCTTGCCTGGACACAGGAGATACACAGAAAAACAGAAACAGAAACAGCAACAGCAACGGAAAAAGGCCTATCCGACGACAAAGACATATTGGGGGTCGCACGAGCCGTTCCCCACCCAAGTCCAAGTCCAAGCCGAAGCCGAAGCCCATCCCCAGCCCACCCCACCCCCTTTGGATGGTCTCGTCTCTCTTTCATTTGGAATTCAGCTCAGCGACAGAGCCAAAGCCAAAGTTGGCCCCCCCCACCCAACCACCTCTGTTGCTACATTCCGACAAATTCTTGCGCCTTTCTTTTTCCGAATGCAGTCACGTAATTTTCGAATTTTCAACAACAACACCCGAAAATTTCACCCCTCCGGCCACCGCCAAACAAATGAGCGGGGGAATAGAATACCCCCCTCCTCCTCCTCCTACTCCTCCTCCTCCACTATCGTTAGACAGAGCGTCGCGATGCGGCGTCGGGGCAGGCATCAATTTGTATCTGTAAATTAGTATTCCACTGCAATTTGCCACGGAAATACCCAAACACAACAAAACGAACATCGATTCCAGGGCTCATGATGTCCATCGATGATGATGATGATGGGTTCGGTTCGGTTCTGTTATGTTCTCTGTTTCCAGCTATAACTTTATGCGGGATCTCTGTGTTGCATGTGCGGAGTGACGCCTCTCATTCTCCAATAATCGCATTAATAATGCGCTCCCCCCCTCCACCATTATGTGGCCAGAACTCATTCCAAAAACCATTGCTCCCTCTAGCCATGTCGATGTGTCCAGGACCCTCATATATCACACGGATGGTTCTGTCATGAAGAGTGTCATGGAGTATGGTCTCTGTGTGGCCGCCGGCACCGCCACCGCCACCGACACCGACACCGCCGCCTATTGAAATTAACAGTTAATTTAACTAATAATTGTTTAAACAACAACAGACTTTATCATGATGGATTTCGTTCGTGTGGTTACGAGATGCCTGTGCCTGTGCCTGTGCGGTGCCTGTGTGGTGTTGTTGCCTGTCAACACTTTCCAGTCCCGTCCAGTCCAGTCGATATTCTGCTGGTCAGAGAAATACAGAGCCATTTCCACACCAACCCGCCCCACCCTCCAAATTCATGCATGGTCGTACATAAACACATACATATGTACATTTGTATGTATTTATTTGGGTTTCTCTGTTAATTGATTTTCATTTTCGGTTAAAAGTTGTTTCTGCAAAGCACTTGAAAATTTATTACTTGATTATGGATTCAACTTAACTTTTACTAAACCTCAAACATAAAAAATAAAATATACAGGAAAAATACCAAAAATACCGAAAATACCGAAAAATACCACACAAAATAATGAAACAGCACCAGAGAAAAGTTCACACAAAATACTACAGAAATACTGTAATATACCGGGGAAAAAACCTTCAAATACCTGAAATAAATTGCATACAAAATTTCAAATTACTGAAAACTATAGCAATATACCGGAAAATGCTGCACGAAACATAGCA